TTCCTATAATAATTCCATGCGTTGCTTTCAGGCAGCTTCACTAATTCCTGAATTATCTGAATGTGGACCAAATGCTTCTTATCTTTTACCTTGTTTCAATTGTCCTAACTGTTGCCACCACCATGATAATACAATATTACCATTCAAACTGTATAACTTTTTAAATGTAATAATTGTATTGTGGATGAAAATGTATATTTTTCTTGTTTAATTTTCCCAGTCAAACTCTTTTTGAAGTGCATCTTGTTTGTTTTTTTGTCATAATTTCACATCAGTCAAGTGGCAGTTTGTGAACAAAAAGGTGGAAAAAGAAAATGTGGGTTCTAAAATGGAATATCAACCGATAAAATGTATTAGCCTAATGATAACTATTGTTTATAATTCATTGCAAGAGCCATAAGCAAAATTTTAAAAAACAAAAGACTAGGCAATATAATTATGTAATGTTTTTGTGAAATGAGTTGTCATCAGCCATATGCTTTAAGTGTTTTTTTTTTTTTTTTCTTACAGTCATGCATACAAACTGGTATAGAATAGTGAGTGTCCACACATAAATAAACTAATGTGCTGTTGTGGCTCTTTAGTCCTTATCAGTATTGGGTTGTGGCTGGAATGCTGCCCCTCTGCCCGTGTCTCGACTTGCTCCTCACTGTTTACTTTGGGAGGCCAGTGCTCGGTGTTTGTGCAGCTCCACTGTGCAACTGCAGAATTAAAACTCAGTCATGTATGCAGTCACAGCCAGCACATGCATCCACTCTTCAAATGACATATGGAAATGGCTTCAGCAAAATGTCTGTAAGCTGACAATAGCTTCAGACACGCATATCCTGTATATATACATTATAAACACTGTAGTTAATATTACAGAATCGTGTACTCTAAACTGCAAATGCAGTGAGTGCATGTACTGAATCCACTCATATTCAACTGCAAACTACAGTTTTTGAATAATATGCACCTTTTGAAAAAAAAAAAACTAATCAAACAAAATAACTTAATGTCTTGTAAATATATATATATATATATATATATATATATATATATATATATATATATATATATATATATATATATATATATATATATATATATATATATATATATATATATATATATATAAAAACAAAAACTCGGACAGTTATTTGTGTTTTATAGACTATTTGATTATGTTTATCTTGGGTACCGTAAACGCAGTTAATAGTGAAAAAACTGCAGTATGCAGTGTGAGCATTTTAGTTAAGCCGCTCGCTCATTTTATTTTAAACGCTATAGTAAAACATTATGACGTTTTGAATCATATCATGTATAATTATTACTGGACTGATGTTGTTGGAGTAAGTGAAATTGAAAGCACCAGAGATGCTCAGCTGTAGCCTACATGAGCAGGTGTGTGGAAGGTGGGGGAGAGGAGGAGACTATTATTAGATCCGGCCACCAGGTGAGCGGAGGAGCCCTGACTGGCACTGCCAAGGTCACCTTCTCTACGCCGAGCGGCGGTGAGGAGAGCGGGAGGAGATGAAGAAGGCGCTGACAGCAGCCTTCCTTTGCCGCGGTCTGCCTCAGCCGCGCGTCTGCTGCGGTGCCACCCCAAATCTATCATATAACAGAGGGAAAACACTGAAACCAACGAGATATTTTTCTAAGTCTTGGATAACACTGGCCTGCCTGCAATAATGAAATAATATAGTCATTTATATACAACAAGCTGGTGTAGGAACATTCCAAATTCGCCCCTGAAAAGAAGCTGTACCGTGCGTCACGATCTTGTGCCATGCGTCACGGAACTCTACTTGACTTTGGAGAGCTTGTAACGCAGCAACGAAGCCAGTCCTTTATGTTAAGTGTCTCTTAACAATTAGTGTACAGTTCATACTTATTTATTTCTCTTGATGCATAGATTTAAAAAATCTAAACACCATCCAATCGTTTTTATTTTTACAGACAGATTCGGGCAATAGGAAATCGTCTGTTTGGGAAGACAGGGAGCATTAGAAGTAATTGCTCCTTTAGGTCCTCTGAAAAAGGGGCGTCTTGCGTTTTGTTTGACGTTGGGGCCTCAGCTTCAGTCGCAGGCTCTGAAACTGGATCTCATGACTTCATCTCCCACAAACAGTCCGGTCCGAAAACACAGCTCGCTTTTTCCAAACACATTTCAAGCAACTTTCAGTGTGGCACATTTTGCATATTGCTGCTTCACGTACAGGCTGGGCCTAAATGTGGACAATTCTAGTCTATTGTGCTAAAAAAAAAGGGAAAGAAAGAAAGAAAAAGCTGCAACACTTTCATAATGAGACTCTTAATCACACTCTTCACTCTTTTCTACTTTTCTTCCCTTTTTTGCAGTGCAGATTTTCCTTTTTTATCCGCGGTGTCTAGAGGTTAAACAAATAAGGCACTCTTTCCTCTCCTGGCTCTGCTCCCTGTGAAGCAGAGAAAACGTTGCGCACATAATGAGAAGCTGCTTGCATTAAACGGACAAACAGCGATCTCGCATCCCGTGACCCCGAGATGCTCCTCTCGCTCCCATTGATCATCCGCCCTTATGAGATAATGCAATTACAAACATCAATAAGGAGCTGCGAGGGGAATCATTATGTGGTGACAGTGATAAATGACGCTGCACAAAATAGCGCGGCTCCTCTCAAACAATCCCCCGCTGCCCAAGGGGCTTTGAGGGCCGGGGCCCCGTCGCCAAGGAGACAGATGACATCCAAAATGGCCCCAGCTTCTCTCAACAGTCAAACACATTTTTTGCCGTTTTCCCCCTTCCCCTTTGTGGACTCTTTGTTTTAGAGCCAGCTGCTATGCGACCTTTCTCAAGTCTCAAGTTACTTTTACTTTTCTTATTTTCTCAGCCTGGGGTTTGGTTATTGATTTTATAAAGTTGCTGAAATATCGACATGTCATGTGGGTCATACATATATTTCCTGTGAAATGATTTCCTCTTTGGAACGACGGCTTATTGATTGTTTGCTGTTGTCTCTGTGATTTTATGGACATTGTGACAAAGTTTCATTTCAAGTGTCCATTTAATGATCTCCAGTCATCTCTATGTGGAGATCAAAATCCAGACATTGAATTGCAATTGCTCACAAGTTATAAAAAACGTATAATATATATATAGCTTTAATTATTTATGTGTAGGATAAAGGCCCATTGTGGTTTCTTGTATTTAAAAAATCTGCAGCTTTAATTTAGGCCTGAAATCCTGGCACAAGATTGAGCGCTGCAGCAACCAATAACGATTGAATTAATAATCCTCCAATCACCAGGAGCTGGATTTGTCATGGCTTGTAGGGAGTAAAAAGGCACGAGGCTCGCTGTTTTACCTGTTGGAACCACGAGCATAAATATAGGCCTGTGTGTTTGAGCGGTGTTGTTGTGGGAGGAAGACTAGGCCTGTCAGGGCACCTCCACAGCTCTGGAACACATCTCTGCACCATTCATTACGCTGACAGTTCACTGCGCGGTCACGCTGCTCGCAAACTCTGCTTATTACTCCACACTCCATTTTAGGATATTATTAACGGCCTTTTCAAATACTACATTAATCTGAACTGTTTTAAAACATCTCAATTCAAACAGTGCATTCAAAATGGAAGCGCATGGGAAATATAGGTCAAGCGTAATTCGACTATACTAATGCATCAAATACGTAAAAATAAAAACAAATAATGTTATTTCATTATTATGTTCAAATATGTTTTTTTCTTTCTTCTTAATATAAAAATAGAATATCAACAGATGAAACATGAATACTTTACTATAAGGACCATGGTGCCATTTGATTATTATTCATGACATTATTATTATTATTTTATTAATAATTAATTAATTATTTTTTTTAAAAGAAATTTTAATATCATCAAGAGTTAACTAATTGTGTAGTCCCTTTGACAATTTGAAGATTGATTGACCTTAAAAAAGGTTGGTAACATACTTTAAAGGCCTTTTGATATTAATGTTAGAAAAACATACGCCTTGATGCAAATCCGCAGCCTTTTTTACTTTCTTGTTGAATTTGCGTAAAATTGTGAAAAACATCTCACATAAAGTTGTTGCAAAAATTAGACATTTTTGTAAAGTGTTAATTATTTTTTAATATAGTTTTTCCTCACTCGTAATTTTAATTAACAGTCCACACACCCTGTCACAGACTTCTGTTGATTTACCTTCCAGATTTATTTTCGTGCGTAAAAATATGTGGGGCTGAGTTCCTCCGTGCGCCATCTCCAAACGCCTCCTTTACCCGAACAGTTACCAGAGCTCCCTAAAGAGGGCAGTCAAGCATGTTCTTTTCCTCTGCTCCGCTCTCGTCTCCACAGCTTCTAATGGCCACTGGCTCAGGAATTCAACATTACACACAGCGGTGGATTTTCCAAGCAGCCATGGCGGAGGAAAGACGACGCAATTAAAACGTCGCCCAGCTTTTCAAAGTAGCTTTTTTATTACTTTAGCGCAAATAGCGTTCGGTTGGGCCGTTGCTGTGAAAGTACAATAGTAGCCTGTATGTGAACAGAGCGAAAGGTACAAGTATTGATTTATACGCGCGTATTGTTGTGGATTAAACAGACTCGCTCTTGTTCGCTAATCCAGGAGTTGTTTTTTTCCTTTGAAATTTATCAATTAGAAAACGCGACTCGGGGTCTTCTCTTGTTCTTGTGTTTCCTGAGTGAAGAGGACATAAATATATAGGCTACAGTCAGTGGGACATACAGAGGAGCGCCCCCTAACTTGGAGCAACAAGGTGTAAGGGTTTAACTAATTTATATGTTTGCAGTGATTTGATCTAAAGAGGTTTCACACTCAAGTGAGAGATAATTCCCTTTTTACTCAACACATTTTCTGCACTCTTTGCTCCTCGTATGGTATGCACACTCTCCACAGAAGTAATTTAAGTGCATATTCCTATGAAAGAATTCATGGGCCTCTTGCTTCCTCTTGTTAACATGTAAACATCTTTGTCAAACTAGTTGCACGGCTTTTGTATTAATGTGAGATTTTTCTGTAATTTGAACAAAAGTATTTATTTACAACACAAATGTACAATATATACCCCTTCAAAGTAAAAGCAAAAGAAACATGTTTTTCTTCAAAGGAACCTTTAAGATGTGTGTTATTATACATGTCCGAAGCAATGCAGTATAACCCGCACAAGCACCTCTCACTTTTTACATACGCGCACACACACACAAACACACAAAACACTCCCTGCCTTCTTCTTGTGTTACATTCGGCTGTCTGTAAATCAGCGTTACCACATAGAACTATGTTGAATGTAAAGTCGTTACTCTATAGCCATTTGCTTTTAGCTTTCATTGGCATTATTGGACTACATGTGTGACTGGGAGAGGAAGCTCCACTGGCCCTGTAAGGCTCAGCATTTGACACAAAATACATTAGAATACTAATAATCTCAAAGACCACCAAGAAGAAAACTTAAGTTGAACTTTTGCATTTAAAATGATCCTACGATGTTGATTTATTCATTCTCCATTATGAAAAGCCAAAACTGAAAAGTGAATGTGCAGAAGAGCTATTTTTGTGACATGTTATGCTCTGGGCCAGGGAGCAGGTTTGCTCAGTGCTCTGCTATTTGTAATTAAGTGACTTTCCACATTTAAAACAAATATACTATGTCTGTATGGACTTCCCTCACATCAGTGTCCATGTGTTGCTGAGTGTTTTTCTGTCATAAAGACACACTGAAGTCTATGGTACTTTTGTTTCCATGAAATCCTTTTGAATAGCACCATCTCTGACATATTTTGGGTTATGTTTGCCACTGTAGAGCAGTGACATTTTTAAATAAATGCCTATGGGGAATTATAAAAGGATGACATATTCTGATTTATTCACTTTTTTGCTTTAAAAATTCTTTGTTGTGATCCAATGGAGTCAGGGTGGGGGCAGAGGTCCCCATGCATGTACAGCACACATACGGTGTGAAAATAAACCAGAAAAAAAGAGAAAAAGTTCACATCCTTTTTTAAAAAATCTATTAGAAACAACATAATATGCAGAACAATACAATAGAATTTACAATACTTAAATTCCCAGTCCATGTGAGAGTCCAGCCACATTTTACAACAGTATACAGTATATTTTTGTCTCAGCTCGTTTCCCAAAGGGTTGATATAGTTATACTTTTAAAAATTAAATTCTTTCACCTCCGTATTTCAATCATTTTAAAGGGCACCACTGCTGTGTCTTTGTCAGTTACAGACATTGTTTTCTCCTTGGTCCATATCCTCGTGCCAAAAACGGGAGTTTCCTTAGTTCACCATGAAGCCAAGAAGATATCGCTTGGTTCACAGTTCCCAAAATGCAGGCAACTGTGGACTTGTGTGTTTTTCAGTATGATCATCGCAATCACTGTTAAGGGAGAAGGCCATGATCAGTGCCCTCACAACAAACCAGAGCCACAGCGTTTGAGATCGGAGTAGCAGACAGGAGCTGAAGGCAGTTTCGAAGCAGTGAGGAAATGTCAGCCATGTTCAAAGATCCTGACAGGTGCAGACGGAGTTGTTTTTGGCTGGTGTTGTCCTGAAGATAGAAGTCCTGCTCCAAACTCAGTAGGCCACAGGGAAGTAGGTGATCCCCTGGTGGTTTATTTCTGTGGAAAAACAGAAGCACAGCAATTAGCTTGTAGCAATTAGCTTAAGACATTTTGAGTGAGTAATGAGGAGCAGTGTTTTAACAATAGGAAACATGTCTAAGGCTGTGAGAAAAATGAAAAACAAAATGCTGTATCTAATTAATCTTATATGATCTATCACGACCAAATATTTTATTAAAACAGGGAAAAGTTGTTGATAACAAAATAAACCACATGTTTTTGTTGTGATCGGGTAAACAGAAAGAGTTGGAAGGGCATTTAAGTTGAAACCGATGACGATATAAGAAAAGTAAACAAAAACAAATATTTCGCACACTGATTAAAACCCCTTGAGCATCTGTCTTGCACACAACCACACAAAAACAAAGCACTGAAACCTATCTGTGGCTGTCTCTTTGACTACATTCCTCTCCTTAGACCCAACAATAGAATGCCATCCCTCTGTGTAGGTGGAGAGTCACCACTGTGGAACCACCGCCATTGTTTTCCGAAACTAAATAGGAGCGACTCACAGCCACCCGTCACCTGAAAAGTGCCCCGGGCTAATCCACGTGTGCACCGTACACACAGCAATAGGGCCACCACGGACCACACAAAAACTTAACAGGAGATGGCTGGTAGAGGGACAAACTCAAGGGCCATCATTTCCAAACTGTCCACCTGGGATCGCTATTGGAGTTTTTAGTCAGATAACAGGATCACTATGGGGGCATTTTTTTTTTTTTTTTACATCTTATCAACAGAAAACAGACAGTAGGAATTTTAAGCCACTTCAGCAGATTACAACATGTGGCAGACCCGGCGTTCCAGAATGAGAGGACTTCTGTTTAATAAGCAAACCCTTGAAAGAGCACATGTGTTAATAAGGCTTTACCTAATAAGACAATCAATAACATCTAGTCTCCACAGGGGAATTGCATTAGGATCAATTGGGAAACATGAAGGAAGACAACATCCAAATGGAGTCTTTGATTATATAGTATTTGTGAACAGTAAAAGTTCATCCAGCACAAAAGGAAGTTGAGGCTGTAGGTGATGATGGCTGCATGGGGGAGGCAAAGGGGAGGGACTCTGACCCCACAGAGAAAGGTTAACAAATTTGTGCTTAATGATTGGTGCAATGGATCCTGGAACAAAGGGTCTCCAGCAGAGACTGGCAGCAAAGGGGTTACAGCGGTGTGCACTCAAGCGTTCTGCCCGACATTTTGGAAAAACGCTGCATGGGGAAAAATTCCATATCCTCATGCCATTATTGGGTTCAGCATGTGATAACTATTGTCCCCAAATTGGGAATTACAGTTTGAGAGGGTCACCATTGGCTTATTTAGCAGAAGCAGCAAAGCAGGAAGAAGGAAGAAGGGCTAAGGGTCAGAGCGTAGTCATTCTAGTTACTTTCAAAGGCTTGGCTCACTTCTGCTTGACTGAGCGGGCTTCATCTGTGCTGACAGGTGTATTGTTTCACAAGGGGATATAAGCTCTGTAATTATCATTGGGTGGAAAGCATTACGCTCTTCACTAAGCAGGACCAGGACTAATTGGCTTTAGTTTTTACTAATGTTGCTGTGTGACTGCTAGGCACACCTTCTGTATCAGGGATGAGCACGCAGACACAATAACCGCTCCATTGAGCCCTGCAGTAGCAAAATCGCCAGTGCCATAATGAAAATGGCTTATAAAATATAATGAACCTGTGCTCTCTTAATCAAATAAGATAACAGCCTCCAGTAATAACCTATTAATTTAATTGGTCATGAAAGAATAGCCCGTATAAGGAAAGTGCCACATTTGACAGGCACCCTCAGCAGTAGTAGTAGTAGTAGTAGTAGTAGTTCTAGGAGCAGTTCTCAGTGAGTCTCTTTGCTGTGCTCGTTCCTCATTCCTTCCTCTTCCAGTCGCCTCAGTGCCATTTACTCCTCTCTCCTCCTCCTCCTGTGGCCCCTCCCTCTTTCTCTAGTCTTTTTTTTCTCTGCTGTCGGCTCATTTTCTATGTGCTTCTCCGTCTCGCGAAGGATTCCTCTGGTGGCCCAATTACGAGATTCAGCAGGCAAATTGAAGCTGTTTAAAGCGAGGTCTGCTGGGAAGGCTAGCAGCTGGTGGAGAGAGGCTGCTTGGACACGACCAAACAGTCCTTGTGTTTACACACAAACACAGACATACACAAGCTGTCTGCTACACACGCACCACACTTTATTAGCATGTCTCTGCATTTCAAATCTGAGAGATTCCATTGCACCACAGATTCTGCTCTTTGTTTTGGTTCTGGACATTTGGGGCTGAAACAAGGGTGGCACATTTTCAACACGGCACGTACAGACACGTATGCACTTTCTGTGGAGGGTTAATGGTCTCTATTTTTGTAAACTGAATAAGTCAAATCCATTGGTCACACCTCTGCTGATGGCATATTTAATTTGGATCTAGTCAATTAGGCCCAGCTAAGCTCCATATCCTGCTGGCTAGTGCCTCCATTTTGCACTAGTTTATGTCCCTTTCCTATGCCAAGAGTAATCCTATTACAGTGCACATACACCACACGCATGTGCACACTCACACAGACAATGTTTACATTTTATATATCCAGAATATGGCCAGGACTGGTACTCACAGGTGCAAGTAGAACAACATAAAAAATACAATGGTTTTCTGAAATTATAGGACCCATAGCCCTTTTACACACAGTCTGCAGTGTGACAACAGCACGCCGGTATACATCAAGAATTATGTGGGAGTCTATTTGGCCCTGGGGCGAGAGAGAGAGAAAGTGAGGGAGAGAGGAGTGGAGAGAGAGTGAGAGGAGGTGAGAGAGGCACACAGAGGCAGCCAGATTAAGGAGAGGAGAGAAATATGTTTTTGCATAACAACACAGATACTTTTTTACAGAATGAGCTAAATTATAAAGAATGTAAGAGCAGGAGAATGAGCTGTAGCCAACTTTAAGCTAATGAATTTGTTCTTATATCAACAACAACTGGCTGTGAATGCAACAAATCAAACTTGTATCTCTTAGTTTTCAAGTTTTATCCCTAAATTTGATAAAGCTTTCATATTTTTCTCTTGAGCAATTTGAGTCTTTTTTCTCATGTTCTTAAGCCTCATAGCCTCCACTCTGCCCTGTCCTCCCTGTTGTAAGAAGACTGTTTATTCCTGTATCTTGTGGATATGTAAAACTGCTGCGCACACAGTCCAGGGCTGTGATCAAAGGCCCTTATCACCGGACCAGAATGGGAGACAGCAACACAGAAAAATGAGCCAGGATTACAAAAAGGACCCAAGGTTTTATCAAGAGAAAAAGTAAAACACTACATTATGGCAGTTTTTACAATGTACAGTGATCTCTCTCATATAATGCAAATATATAATAAAAGACTGCACCTTTTACTTCTTGTGGCACTGCATAGGTTGTTTTCACCAGCAGTTTAATACTTTCTTAGATGTGACAGACTGAAACATTCTTTATGGAACTTCCTGGTTTGTTATTAAAGGTGCATTGTGTAACTTTTCTGGTGGATGGTTCGTCAAATACTTTCCACATGAAGACATTATTACACAATATGGCATTACATCATTCTACATTCATGGTGTCCAAACTAGGCAACATTACAAGTCAGATCTGTGGAGAGGCAACCTCGCTCAGGTATTTTTGAGCTATAAACCAGCTGTAATTTAATAAATGTAAAGTAGAGCTGTATAGTGTCATACTGTGGCATATCCATAGAAACAAGCAGGTGACAAACCCTCAACCAAAAAGTTACATAGTGCACCTTGTCCAAAATATATTACAGAAGTCATGCATTTCTTAATCTTTAGCCTGTGTTTGATGTGTATACTTACATCCCCCTTCGTGTTGCGATGCTTGGCACTTGGATAGGGCTACATGTAGTGCCACTGACCTTCCATACCCATATTCATCCCCATACCACCCATTGGACCTGGAACAAAAGGTTCAAATGTTAACTTTTTCATAGATAATACAAGAGCAAATACACTACCAGGCTAAGTACAGTGAGACTTGACAGACAGCATAGCAAAGGAACAGGGTTTTTTTTTTTTTTCAAAGCTTGCAGAATTAGGCGTGGTGCACTAGTGGGTGAGGTGGGGGTTAAGTCGTCTTGGCAAGTGATCCAAACCTGCTGACTTTGAGCGTTAGATAGGACTTGGGAATCCTTAAAAACAGCGGATAGAAGAGGAGGTGGAGAGAAGCTTAGAGGGACAAACTTAAGGATTAAACCTGATTGCGTGAGAGAGCGACCAGGACTGTGTTAAGTGGTTGAAGAAGCTTGTGTAATGTGACTGCACACACCTGCTAGAATTATGTCTGGGCTAGGAGACTATGCCATGCTACCGCTTGGGCTAAAATGATGACGCTAATAATTAATGGACTATAGGAAAGATATGAGGCAAAGTTTTGAGAGACGCAGAGAGAAAGCCATACCAGGTGGTCTGATTCCCATGTGCTGCTGGCCGTCCATGACGAAGCCCCCCATTGGCTGGCCATCTGGATTGTAGGGAGCTCCTTGACTTACTGTGGAGAGGAGGACAGGAGGGGAGGGACAGAGGGATGGGGAGGGAGGGGACAGAGTGGTCAATTAGTGCTTTTAATTAAGGCTCAGTGGCCGAAGCAGGATCATCTGTTGGTCGGTTCACGCACATGGAGGCCTCTGTTGTGTTTTAGGGTCAAAGTGACTAAGTAAGACTAGAGTTTATGTCCCAATATAAACTAGAAACAACACAGGCACATTCAAATGCATCTAAATATTGAACAGTGTGGTCAGCATCACAGAAAACCCTCATAACTTGCAACAAATACTCAAGTGTAAAATAGTGATAAGTCCATCAATGCCAAAATATTGACACTGAGGTATCAAAAAGCATGCAAGCATTTTAATGTATTTTTAATATATATTTTCAAATACATTCATGAACTGTATTGCTTATATTTTAGTTTCAGTTGCTTGGATTGAAACTAAAATCCCTTGTATCGCCCATTACTAGTGTAAAACAAGAGAGAGATATTTCCTAAACATTATTCTAGTATTAATATTGTGCGTAATGCTCCTCAAAACCAGTTTTCCAGTAATCTGCTGCTTTCTATAAGTCCTTCTTCATAACTGGGCTCAGAGGGCGCGTAATCTAATAAATCCTGCTTTTAACTGAGCAGCGACGATAAGTGAAACCTGAGAGGGCTCCTTGGTTTTGCCTGCGTCCATTGTTCTGCTCTCATAGAAATCCACTTACCTCCGATTGGGGCTGTGTATGCGGGTCAGCCAAGCAAAAGCAAAAACTTGGCCCCACTGAATGTCTTTGAACTTTACTGCGCCCCTAATGCCACCCTGAACTTTGACCCCTATTACAGGTAATAAAGTTTACAGCAGTCCAAACCAAGCCGTGCACCGGGGGACTCCCCTCTCTCCCTCTCCCGAACAGGCACAAATGGGAGAGTGGGAGGGGTCGGGTTAAAAACAGGTCTGGAGCCAAGAAGCCAAACAACGGTCATCCAAAAAAAGAAACGTGCCTTATGTTTTGGTCTGAGCTAGGCTAAAAGGCAAGGGAATTTTAATTTTTTCAATAAGTGAGGAAAGGGTTAAGTTTTGTGATCCCAATCATAGTTATTTAACCTGTGTACTTGGGTGATTAAATTCAAAATGGGTAACACTATAATAATTACACCATAATTAGTCACAACAAAGCATTAAAAAAGATTTATCTTATGATGAACAAGTTTATCAAGAATGATTCAGGCTTAGCTACTACTTAATTAGTATCCTAACCATAATCCTTTAATTATGTAGTTTCTGCCTGAATTTTTCCCAATAAACTATTTGAATATTATGGATTAAGTCTTTCTTCATTCTGAATTAATATAAAGTGTTCCCTATAATTCCTGTATTCTCCACATTGACCTCAAGGTGCATGGGCTGTTGACTGCTTTGACCAGAGAGACTAGAAAAGCCAGCATTAGAAATTATAAGAGACTTGCCTGCACGGTTTGACTGGTCAATCATAGGCTGGACTATTCTCCTCCGGGCATTGATGAACCTAAAAAACACAAAGAAAACAAAACAGTCAGCAAAATTTACCAACAAAACATGCATACAAAATCTTGGCACCAAAGACCAAAACAAAACCAACGCCAACTCAAATTGTGAGGGTATAATATGTCGAAAGAATTTTTAGCTTAGCAACCATGAGTGTTTAAATCCCCTAAAGACTACAGAGAAAGTCAGATCTTTACAACCTTAATAACTATTGTCTTCCAAATTGCAGAGGAGCTGGACCTGTGCAAACTTGCCAAGCCTGGTCTAAATACTGGGGTCTTATGTTGCGAGACAGGATTTTCTGTTGTAACACGTGGAGCCAACTTGCTTAGTTCAAGTATGAAACTAAATGTATTCACTTATCAACATGAATTAAACTATTTCTTATGTTTCTTTTTGTTGTTACCATAGGCTACTCTAACATTCCTGTAACTGGTATTATAATAAGTACACTTTTAATAGTCTTAATAAACCAGGAGCAAATGAGCAAATAGTTTATTAAGAATGATTCATGCTTCATAAGTAACTACTTGATTAAAACCCTAACTCCTAACCCCTTAGTTGACATATGACTAAGCCTGAATCATTCTTAATAAACTTACACATGGTGGTACCACACTTTCTTTCACTGTTGCCATAGGTTACTCTCAAACATCTTATCCATGAGATGGACAGGTGACTGGCTTGTGAGAGACAGCAGAGGTTTATTTTAGTCTATATAGTTGTGTGTGTTTTCACAGGACCACTGCATGCTACATACGTACCCTGGGCCCAACCCCTTTACCCCGTGACCCCTCATAAAAAGCCACAGTTAGACCATTTAACGTGCGCGCTCACACAAACACTCACTCATATTAAAATCCTCTGCTTTGAGCATTCTCCGTCTCCCCTACATTCATTCACACAGTCTTCTTTACCCCCTCACAGAGCCTGCACCCCGGCCTTACTCGGCCCTCACCCCTTGTAAAATGACCCTTTGACCTGTAATGACCCTGAGGAGGGAGGCCTCTTGGGGCTTCTGACTTGATTTATGTGTTCCTGCTGTTTGGCTCACCGGACACTTCCATTTCATCTCTAAAAAGAGGGCAGCATTAGGCGAATTTAGGGGAGACAATGGTGGGACTGCTCCAGCTAAAATGGAGCATTTAAGGAGCAAAGAAAGGGGCTTTAAAAGGGGAAAGGTGAGAAATGCATGTGGTGAACTTGCTAAGAACCTTGCTGAAGCTAAGAATCTAAAGCTAGATTCTATGACCCTTGTTTATGGAACACATAAACCAACTAAAACTAAATAGTTGAATTCCCTTAAGTGAATTTAAAACACTATATCTGTCATCTTTGCAGACCATTGCAATTGTTTTAACTGAATGCCTTGTTGACTATAGGGTCAACAAATATTGAAATGTACATTTTAATATGCAATTTATTCATTGTAAATGTTTACTCAGGACTGCCTGGGAAATTATATGCAATCTCAATCGGACTTCCTGATAAAATAAAATAAATAAGATATGAAATGCATTTAACAAATAATGAATTCTCCAATAAAATATATAGGTAAAAATATCAAATCAGTTTTCATTTGACTCAGAACCTTATGAATCAAATTGGTTATGAATTATTACTAACAGTCTCTTCTGCTCATTTAAGTCCATATGTAAATGCAATAACTCCACTCAAAAACTAAATCCTATCCTTGGCCTATTGGTGACTTGTCCTTAAATTGTCATAACTAACTAAAATTTATATGAAAGTATCTGTGCCATTTTCTATATAATTTATGAGTAATTTGAAGCGGGAGAGAAAGAGGAATGTAAGAATGCTTGGACATGGCAGTGCACCATCAAATGAGAGAACGTCTGGAGTTTTATCACCACTCACGACTCCCCCCTCAGCCCTGTGCTGTCCTCCCCCGCTCTGCACTGTTCTATTGGCCTATAGCAGAGATATGGATGGGATGGTGGTTATGGAGGGCTTAGCATTCCTATCCTGATTTTTTTGCCTCGCTCTGAGTATGTCTTACTACAGTTTTAGATAAAAGGATGAAGTCACCATCAGGGCAGCCACGACCTTTGACCTACAGTTCTGTTCGTACCGACTACCTTTTATGGTCTTGTGTGTGAACCTAAAGAAGATGGTGACAAATGTAACTAATGTTCACATATACTAGTTTTAATCTGTGGCCTAGTTTTCTGTTGTTAGTAAGCCTGTCATGATAATTATTACATGGACTTAGGATGGTATAAAGTCAATATGTGTTGTGTGTACAGTTTCTTTGCACTACTGGAACTTTTTGGGTAATAAGATTTAAGCTGTAAAAGGTCAAATTAATAACTTCTATGAATCATTACAGATGCAAACCAAGTATTAAAGTGTTTTATTCTGCTGTTTATTTATTGCAGCTCGTGTTTTTTTTTTTTTTTATATGGAACATTTAGAGTAGTTTTGTGGTTTAAATCTTAAATCTTATTGTGTCAGTCGCATAAAACAGTTGCCATGTTAGTGTTTATCGGCTATATTTAACAGCGATATATTGAACTTCAGAACTTGTCATGACTTTGTGAGTGATTTAATTTGTTTAATTTTAAGTTGATAGTCAAATTAAGCATCTGAACTCTTATTAACCAAGCCTTACATTATAAAAAAATATCTAGTTTGAGGTTATTAAGGTATCTTTTTATAAAGCCCCATAGCAACCCTCCAGTGGTGAACTATATGATTAAACATGGCATGCAGACGTACAAAAATCCTAACCCCATGGCCCTTCGCCTGTCCCGGCTTCCTGTTCCCGTTGTCCCCATATCGGAGGCCAGATGCACCATGGGGCCTAGAACAAAGGATAAAATGCCTTTCATAATAGCAGCCAGGGACGGGCGATGGCTAGTCGGACAGACCAAGGGGCTCTCGTCTGCCAACCAGACCCTCTTGCTGTGACCGTTAATAACCCAACAGAGGGGAGACGACGAAGGAACAACAGCATGGACAGAGCCAGAGAGAGGCAGAGAGCTCTATTAGAGGGAGTAGGGCTTCACCTTTGGGCGACCCCTGGGTGCTATAGGGCCAGTGTTTATAGCCTGTTCATTCCCCTGCCTCTCATCACAACACAATGAGCAGCACTATTCAGCTGGGCTCCACGCAACAATAGAAGGGCTATTTTGGCGACACATCAGTAGTGGTACTATAGTATGCTAAAAGTTAAAAAAGCGATGATAGCTCGAATAAATCCCTTGAGTTTTGTTGTTAATAGCTATAAGTCCAATATATGGTCCTGTGATAAGGTGCTCCAAGCTAACTATGTTTTCTCAGTCATTTACTCTATTCATGCATTATAAGACTCTTCCTCATTCCAATTGTCATTTGAATAATTGCTATGAAAATTGCACTAATTTTAGGAAATGTTTTAATATATTAATTTTAAGAGTTTACTTGTACATAGAGTACTGACTTATTTAATTGCTACCAAGTTTCTGATTTCATTCTTTGCTTTTGTCTGTTTATCGTTGTGAAATGTCTGGAGTAATCGCCCATAGCTCCTCTCCTCCTCCTCCTTCACTAGAAAGAGTGGAACTGATTGCGACGCAGTCTGCCAAGCCCTTGCTAATGTCCCATTCTCATTACACCCAAGACGCGCACACACACACACCAGCACAAACTGCCCTAGAGCGGAGAGAGGCGCACACAGGTGTACACCAAGCACACGTGAAATGCCCAATTAAAAGCAAGAAATTGTCTTTTTCATCAGCTGCCTTTGTTGCGTGACCAATTAGGGGATAATTTAATAACGAGCAGTGGAAAGATGCAGATTGGATATACAAAAGGTTACTCCGTGAGCTCGTTGATTTAAATTCATGTGAGTCTCAATTTCTGTTGCACATAAACAGAGCCAATATATTTTATTAGTAATATGAGTCACACTGGAACACAAGTACACACAGCATTGCAATGTGACAGAGGTGCTAAAAGAGACACGATTCAAGTGCTCCTGGTCACGTGTACTTGTACTCCTAGTGTAGCAGTTGCAGCAGTAGTATAGTGATAGTAGATAGTAATAGTAGTAATAGTATTGGCTAGTAGTAGTAGCGGTATAGGCTAGTAGGAGTAATACCATAGGCTAGTAGTAGTAGTAGTTGTTGTAGTAGTAGGAGTAGGAGTAGTAGTAGTAATATAGGCACATAGTAGTTAGTCATTTACTTCACATTATTCACAAAGGCACTATCCACAATGACAGTTATATTTCATCACTACATAACAGAGGTTTATATATGCATTCAAATAAGAGGCACTTAAAACAACTGCCTAACCACACACTCCCTTAAACTGCCAATCAATGTGAATTAAAGGCATTGTGATACATTCAGGTTCTGGCAAATGAAAATGGCACCTTATCATCAAGTTGTCACTGTGTGGCTGTATCAATAACTAATGCTCACCACAGTAAATACAGTGAATATAAATCTACCTTAAAGGTCCTATATCATACAAAAGTGACTCTTGTGAACATTTACCCGTGTTATAATGTTGTTAACTCATCAGAAACATACCTGGAGTTGTGTTTTTTTCATTCACACATGTTTGAGTAATCCTTTATTAGCCTATATACATCTCCAAAATTATCTGTTCCACCTTTTGATGTCATGAAGCTGTTGTTTTCAAGTTCACAGCTACCTTTTACCTTTATTTCAGTTGAGATTGGCAATTCCAGGGCTGAAATTATCCAATGATCCGAGTAAACATTTATGGAGTTTAAAAATACAATGGAGCACTTCCTGTAGTATCACATGAGATCACAAATTGGAACAGAGTGTTTGTTTTCTGTGTTAAGCATGTGAGAATGAAACAAACTCTGTGTGTATTTTTGATGAGGTAACAATATTCTAACATGGCTAAACGCACAAAATAGTCAACTGTGTATAATATTCTAGGACCTTTAAAATAAACAAAAAGCATATTTCAGAAAATCGCTATGGGAAATAATTTTATGAATACAAAATGACGAGAAAATAA